ACAACAAAGCTGGTCTTTCCATGTCATCCTCAGAGTCACATAGTCAGTCAAATAAGAGTCAAATTTTGTTGTGGCACAGTCGTTTAGGTCATGTTTCTTTCGAAGTAATAAAATGTTTGTTTCCACTCTTATTTAAGTTGTTTTAGTGTCAGAGTTCATGTGTCAAATGTGTCAGTTGAGTAAACAATGTAGAATAACCTTTCATTCAAGCAATAAAAGATCAAATGTTCCTTTTCATGTTGTGTATTCTGATGTATGGGGGCCTACGAATGTAACTTCTGAGGGTGGATATCAGTATTTTATTACATTGATTGATGATTACTCTCACTATACATGGGTAATCCCTATGCGTAGCAGAGACGAGGTTCCAAAGATAGTACAAGACTTCCAGAGGATGGTGTTTACACAGTTCCATGTTGAAATACAGATCTTCTAATCCGATAATGCGAAGGAATACTTCCATGGGGAGCTAAAATAGTTCTTCGCCTCCCATGGGTCTATTCATAGGAGCTCATGCGCCAGAACACCACAGCAAAATGGGGTTGCAGGAAGAAAAAACAGACACATCCTTGAGATAGCCCGCGGGATGATGTTCCACATGAATGTCTCAAAAAGGTTTTGGGTGGATGCTATACTTAACAGCTGCGTATGTCATCAACCGCATGCCCTCCAGAGTATTGAATTGCATGGCCCCTCATCAGTTACTGTACCCTTAGTCACCTTTATTTTCCATCCCCATGAGAGTCTTTGGTTGTCGGGCCTTTGTCCATGATTTGTCTCCATCCAGAGGTAAGTTAGACCCTCGGTCCATTCCTTGTGTCTTCCTGGGGTACCCATCCTCTCAAAAGGGGTATCGGTGTTTTGATCCAATCAGTCGTAAATATTTTGTGTCTATGGATGTGTCCTTCTTTGAGTCCGAGCCATTCTTCCCTCCATCTCAGGGGGAGAGCCGTAGTGTGGAAGAGGAGAAGAAGGTTCAGGTGTTTCTTCCTTCTATTCCGGACCTCACTCCCTTCCGTGTCTTCTAGCGTACTCGTCGGAGAGATCAACAGTGTGATAGAAATGTGGAGCAACCAAACACTGAGCAACTGACATCATCAGAATCCCTGGAGGTAAGTCCAAACCCTAACCCTTCTCCCACTGTGGACGACCTAGACATCCCTATTGCTCAACGAAAGGGAGTCAGGTCATGCACTACCAAACACCCCATTACCCACTTTGTTTCCTATGACAACATCTCTCCCTCGTACCGAGCCTTCCTATCGGCAGTTGACTGCATCCCTGTTCCCAAGAATGTTGCAGAAGCCTTAAAATACCCTGAGTGGATAGATGCCATGAAGGAGGAGATTGATGCCCTCCACAAAAATCAGACTTGGGAATTGGTGGATCCTCCAGAGGGGAAAGAACTCGTGGGGTGCAAATGGGTGTTCATAGTTAAGCACAAGGCAGATGGAATAGTTGAAAGGTACAAAGCAAGACTAGTAGCCAAAGAGTACACACAAGTATATGGAGTTGACTATGATGAGACTTTTGCCTCGGTGGCTAAGATGAACTCGATTAGGGTTCTCCTATCCTTAGTTGCTAACTTTGACTGGGAATTGCATCAACTGGACATAAAGAATGCCTTCCTGAATGGTGACTTGGAAGAAGAGGTATACATGGTTCAACTTCCTGGATTCTCTGCCAAGGGAAGTGAAAACATGGTGTACAAGCTACAGAAGTCTCTCTATGGATTAACAGTCTCCCAGAGCTTGGTTCAGTAAGTTTCACATGGCAGTTCAAGAGATGGGATTCCAATAGTGCCAGTCTGATCATACACTTTTTGTGAAGAGATGTCAGGAGCAGGTTGCCGTATTGATAGTGTATGTAGACGATATCATCATTACAGGGAGTTGGAGTTCAGAGATACAAAAATTGAAACAATTCCTTGCATCCAAATTTGAAGTGAAAGATCTAGGACTCCTAAAGTATTTCCTTGGGATCGAAGTTGCCCGTTCAAATAGGAGTATCTTTGTCTCTCAAAGGAAATACACCCTTGATCTATTACGGGATATAGGTAAGTTAGGTGCAAGGCCGGCAGACACTCCTATGGATGAGGACCACACAAGCTAGGTGACTGTATTGGTGAACCTCTGAAAGATGTAAAGCAGTTCCAAAGGTTAGTGAGAAAGCTGATTTATCTATCCATGACCCGTCCAGATATTGCCTATTCAGTTGGAGTTCTGAGCCAGTTTATGCACTCTCCTAAGAAGCCACACATGGAGGCAGCAGAGAGAGTCCTTAGATTCCTGAAGAAACATCTAGGAACAGGCCTATTATTCAGTAAACACAATCACCTAAAGGTGGAAGTCTTTACAGGTGCTGATTGGGCAGGAGCCGTGGATGATAGAATGTCCACTAGTGGGTATTGCACATTTGTGGGAGGAAATCTGGTGACCTGGAAGAGCAAGAAGCAAAGTGTGGTAGCAAGATTAAGTGCAGAAGCTGAGTATAGAGCTATGGAACATGGGGTGGCTGAAGTCCTTTGGCTAAAGAACCTCCTAGGTGAGCTTGGAGTT